ACGATTTTTCATTCTCGTAACTTCGCAGCATTTCTGTCAACGGTCTAAGAGAAATAGTTCATGTTAAGACTAATGTTAAGATCAATTTTGTTTCTGACAACGGGCCCCTGGTTCATAGAAATGATCTGTGTTGTCAGATATTGCTGCCTTTCCCCTGGGGAGGATTAGGGGAGAACAAGATGGTGAAAGAGGCTTAAGTTCGATTCACGGAAGAGCAGGGGTTGGTTTTTATCAAAGTGAGGCGATGTGGGTGGGGTAGGTTTTGATGGGAAGGGTGGGGGTAGCTATATAACCTTGATAGAGTGGGTTAGGTAGATTTCAATCGCGAGTCGAGTATCGCGGTCGATTTCAATGTAAAGGGAAATGTTTTTAAATTCAGTGGGGTGGGTGGAGAAGGTTTCGGCCCCAGTAGGGTGGGTGGAGGAGGTTTCGATGCCGGTGGGGTGGGTAGAAGAGGTTTTGACCCCAGTGGGGTGGGTAGAGGAGGTTCCCAATGGGATGGGTGGAGGACGTTTCCACATCAGTTAGAGGGGGGTGGAGGAGGTTTCAACCCCAATAGGGTGGGTGGGAAAGGTTTCAACCCTAGTGGGGCATGCAGGGGTCTATCTGGACCATGGTAGGGGGGTGGGCTGGGGTCCATCTCTATCTGCGGGCGGTGGAGGTGCGACGCTACGTACCCTGACGATGATGCGCTCGGAGGCCTGCGCGACGATCTGGTAGTTGCTGCTGCCGCAGTGACAGTTGAGTGAGACGACGAGCAGGAAGAAGCGCTGGTCCGGGTTTGGCTTGCCCTTCTTACGCATGTTGTTCGACGTCGTCTCGCTGAAGTGCAGCCGGCCGACGGTGACCTTCGACAGCTGACCCGGCTGCAGCTGCAACCTGCGTGCGAGGCGAAGGGGGAGAGTCAGCGCTGTCATACGACCGCTGACGGCGTCATCGTCACGGCTGTCATCGATGTCATCATCACCGACATCGTCATCGTCAACATCATCGTGGCTGTCATCGACATTATTGTCACCAACATCGTCATTGCCACAATCGTCAACAAAATCACGGCTGTCATCATCGCCAACATCATCGCAACTGTCATTGTCGAATCACTTGTTGCCACCACTGATACTATCGTCATCATCACTACTGTTATCATGACTATGATTATAAATGTCATAAACACGTCACAAATGTCAGATTATGTCACATCATTGTCACCATCGTTGTAGTCGAGTCGTCATGTCAACATCAGTGATCGCAGTCATCCTAAATCGTGCAACCTCTACCACCGCCGGCAATTCACCGCCACTGACAATCATAAGCCACTGTCACGACTCTTCCTTTACTCGCGTGCACTCGGCGGGGGTACTCACGGTACAGGATGGAAGGCACGTTTGCTTCTGTCCGACTGCGACTGCTCCACCTTAATCGTCTGCGTCATCGAATCCATCTGCGGGGGGAAGCAAAGCGAGAGATGAAAACTCGGCCAAGATTTCCTGCCCCGCCCAACTCCCTGTAGTTTCTTCTCAGCTGCAGGAGGTTACCGCGTCGCTCTCCTCAACCTCCACCCCACGTTTCTAAGCCACTGCATTATGCGCCTCCCATTAGCCTCCGTCCCCGTCTCAATCTAGCCCCGAGTTCTCATGATGTTATCACGCACGTTCCACTACCTTACACACCCATATCTATCTCGGTAAGTTTTTACAGCGATCCCACCAGCCTTCTTCCGTGTTTCACTGCCCTTCCATCATTCTCCTCCGCCGTTTCACAAACCTTCCCCGTTCCACAGCCACCATCCTCCTCCCCCGTTGCAAGCTCCCCTGTTCCTTCCATGAAAGATTTCTCAGTAGCAATAGCACTAGTGTATTACTTTAAAAGGCAGTGAACATGTATAAATATATATATATAGCCAGCGCAGTGTTAGGTGTTACCATAGAAAGAACAACCCCGAAATTTAGTGCGGAATCATCACTGCGAAATTACACGCGAAACAAGCGAACGCTATAGTCGGCTCATGCTTCCATCTAGCTACGAAGATCACAAGAAGTCTGCAGTCTCATTATACGTGGTCTATCGTCAGTGAATCTACGAGAAAACTAGATGAGAAGGAGAGAGAGAGAGAGAGAAGAGGAACCGATGTGAACGTGAGTAAGAGACAGTGGAACAGAGCGATCCAGGACGATAGACTGGAGACTTACATTTTGCGATCTTTTCATCTGTGACATGAAATAAGAAGACAGAACAACGATGAAACGGGTAGGAAGACTAGGTGGCAGTCTAGTCCCTAGCAGGGGTCAGCAGGGGTTCACAAACAAACAGCTGCGATATTTACTAGCCGACGCTCACTGAATCTTTAGACACGTGAAACACACACAGTAATGACATATCAATTCACATACAAACAAGCTGAATGTCGGTTCACCCGCTGCAAGCTCGGCGGTCTGCTGGCTATGTGTTTGATTTAGACACAGCGATGGTAACACAGTGTGTACCAGCAGCAACGTTTGGCATTGCCATCGATTAAAATAAGCGAATTTTGTCGGGCGAATTTTTTCGATTTGTCGTCGTCAGTTTTCGTCTGCCCCATAACAACAGGAAATCTCGTTTCGAAGTAAACGAGAAATTATTATTCCCGCGCATTTTGCAAATTTCCAGTCTACCATCGGCAGAAGCACGTTCTGGAATATTTCCTTCTTCATTCTGACAGGTGCACACACGCAGCAGACAGCAAGCATGGCAGAAAGAGAGAGCGAGAGAGAGAGAGAGAGAGAGAGAAAAACACCTAGCGACAGACGACAGACGCGTAGCTTACCTTGACGCCGTAAAAGTGAAGCTGCCAGCTATCGATCTTCTTGTATCCATCGGGCGTCTTCACGATCTTTGGGTCTCCGTTGAGGCCGACATGCGACGTCACCTAGTGAGAAAATCACAAACTAGAAATCGTCTCGGGAAAGGTGCGGAAGTGAACATTAACGAAAAGGTATGACCTTATATGGGTATGACCTTATATGGGTATGACCTTATATGGGTATGACCTTATATGACCTACAAGCATGAGGAAAACTGCCACAAGGCTACTAACGTGGGAATATCTTGGCTATAATCAAACCTATACATAAGGGTTGCTCAAAGGAACTGCCAAAAGTGTCCGTAATAGACAGGTTTCCATTCTAATATAACGCCTAGTGTCTTTATAGCTGTCTATCAAGTTTAAAATTATCGATTAAACGAATTTCTATCTAGGGTCAGTAACTAATCTAATCGTCTTAGAGGAGTAACCACACCCCTTGGACATTGCTGCAAGGTCGGTAAAGCTATACCAGTTTACACGTGCACACACATACTTTGCAGAACTTTTTTTACGAAGTAAGGTTTTATGAACTGCCTGCTAATATTGATAGGTAGACAGCCGAGTCGTGAGCAATGAATAAATCCACACTCCTCCATCGTCACTCACCTGAAAATGGTTCTTCTTCTGGCAGACGAAGGCATCATCCGATACGGAGAAGTTGAAGCCCTTATCAGCATCTATGCGATACGTCGGTCCCGGGCTGCAACACAGACGAATGCGTAAACGACAAGCAGCAAGCGTCTCATACTTACCACAATCGCTCCATCCAAGCGCGTAGCCAGGGGGGTCCTGGGGGCCCTAGGACCCCCCAATCAAAATCAAAATCCAAAAAAAAATTCAAAAAAAGAGCAGCAGAAGAAATATTATTGTCAACAAAACAGCGTCTAAATTGATTTTAAAGCACTATTTTTACATTTAATTAAAAAAAAAAATGTCAGACCACTTGTTACTCGCTTGAAGACCCCACCCCCCAATCCAAATTCCTGGCTACGCCCTTGGCTCCATCACAGAGTGGTGGCATCTACTGCTGTTCATGTAGCATCCGATTACACCGCTCAACACGACAGCCACACGAAGCTTCACTACTGTTACTTGCAAGCGACACTAACTGTTCCTTGATCGCTACACGTGCGGTTCCCTACTACACGTGCAGTTCCCTACTACACGTGCAGTTCCGTCTGCTTCCTACACTTACTGTTCCCTGCTACACCTCAGTTTCCTGCTACATTTAATGTTCCCTGCTTGCTACACTTACTGTTCCCTGCTTGCTACACTTACTGTTCCTTGTTACACTTACTGTTCCCTGCTTGCTACACTTACTGTTCCTTGTTACACTTACTGTTCCCTGCTTGCTACACTTACTGTTCCCTGCTTGCTACACTTACTGTTCCCTGCTTGCTACATGTACTGATCCCTGCTTGCTACACTTACAGTTCCTTGCAGGACGCGTCGTACAGCGTGTGCCACTTGGGCGGCTGAAACGGTTGGAACTTGATGCATTGGTAGGAGCCGTCCGCATAGACAGCGTCTCCATTGTCATACATGTCAAACATCGAGTCGTCCGTGTCGGGGGACGGCTGCCCCAGCGGTGACATGTCTGCAAGCAACGACGCACGTCACATGTCTGGCAATGACGCACGTTAGATGGCAACGTCTGGTAATAATGCACGTTAGATGGCAACGTCTGGCAATAATGCACGTTAGACGGCAACGTCTGGTAATGATGCATGTTAGATGGCAACGTCGTGCACATTAGATGGCAATAATGCACATTAGTGACAGCGACTGGCAATTGTACGAGTCAAATAACACCATCAGTGAATCCATCAATGAGTCAGAACAGATGTAAATGCTAATCAAGAAGATAACATTGACGTTTGGCATTATGGCCAGCAACCGTCATTGTCTGGCAATATATAAATACCTGGCAATATGCCAACATCTGGCACTATGGCAATGCTTGGCTGCGTACCTGGTTCCTGCTTGATGTTCTGTAGAAGGCCATTCAACAGGCTGTTCGCGTTCTTCTCATTCACCGTGTTGTTCGGTGATTCGTACTTTCGCTTCTTCGCCGGTTGGTTCTGCAAGTTGTTCATGCTACGAACAGACGAACAGATCACGTCAGCTATCGCACAGAACGCATCGGAACAACACTGGACGAACAACGCCAACAGAAGATCACGTGTAGAACAACATGCACCCTTCAGTTGATGAACTTTCCTTCTACTTAGACTACCGATGAACATCAATAAATCATGTACATGAAGGTCGCTCCAGGGAAACCTCCAAGTGGCTGTTATAGACAGGTGACTGTTCTATAGAGGGGACGGCTAACACGGGTTTGAAAGTTTCGACAGTACACGTAACCCACAGGGCAGCGGCTCTCGCTAGCAAAAACTCACACTCCAAAGTTGGGCGGCAGTTGCTTGGCGACCCCTCCTCCTCCGGCTCCCCCCGCCGCCACGTGCTGCGGCGACAACGACGACGACGACGACGCCGCCGCGATGGCGCAGCCGGCCAGCGGCACACCAGGGGGCGCCAGCACGGGCAGCGTGTGCGCGGGCGAGCCGCAGATTGGCAGGAAGCCCATCGTCTGCGTGCCGGCGGCGGAGGCGAGATGCTGGGGGCTGGTCGTCGCGGTAACGGCGGCGGAGGCTGTGGGGGATTGGTTGTTGAGGTGCGGCGGCGGCAGCGGCGCCGGAGCGGTCATGACGGGTGTGCTGCGGGCGATGACGTTGTGAAGGTGCTGCTGCAGTGCTGCGGCATTCAACTGGTTTGTCGTCTTCATGTAGTGCAGCAGCTGCTGCGCGGTCGCGGGCTGCCCGCCAACACCCTGCAACATTGTAACACACATTACACGCATGCTCTCTGCTCTCCAACACCCTGCAACATTGTAACACATTACACGCATGCCCTCCAACACCCTGCAACATTGTAACACATTACATGTATGCCCTCCAACACCCTGCAACATTGTGTCATCTACAGACCCTCCAACCCCCTTCAACAATATGACACATATTTCATGCCCTCCCTCCAACATCATGCAACACTGTCATGTGCCACGCATACACCCCCTCCCACTCCCTGCAACATTGTGACATTAGTTCAAAACCCTAGAATTCGTTACAAACACACATGTATACACATAACATCAAACTAGGGTTAGGGTTATGGGTTGGTTAACGATATAGCAAGGGCTAGGGCTATGGGTTAGGGTTAGGTTTAAGATTAAGGCTAGGGGTTAGAGTTAGGGTTAGAGCGTATGGTTAGGGTCGCAGTGATGACGTATGATGGCGACGATGGAACAGGGGCGGGGCTACTAAACTAAGCGTTAGTGTACCTGCGTAGCTTGCTGCGCGTGTGAGGGGGAGGATGTGGTGACGGAATCAGCCTGCAGGTTGTTATGCACCGGTGAGCTATGGGTCGGCTGCGTCTGCTGCTGCTGTGGCTGCTGTGTCTGTGGGGGCGAGTGAAGCCCCGCGGAGTGCTGTGGGGAGGGCTGCTGGGTGGAGTGCGGGGGCGACAGCTGCGACGACGGCACGTTGTTCAACGAACCGTTGTTGAAGATCTGCAGGGAAAAACGCACTCCGTTACCGCGGTGACAAACAACCGACGTTCGTCGCCGCGGTTACGTACAGACGCCCTCCGTTACCGCGGCGACGAGCAACCGACACTCGTCGCCGCGGTTACGTATGGACGCACTCCATTACTGCGAATGGACGGCATCAGTAGCGTTACCGCGGTGATGAACTACCGATTGTCACTCGTCACCACGGTTACATAGCGATGCACACTGTTACCGCAAAGCACGTACTGTGGCAGACAACTGGTGACAGACAGCACGAGAGTTGACAGAGAGTTCCCTCTAAGGTCGCACTAACACAGGCTAGTGACACTACCAAGAGAGCATTATACTCATATAAACGTCAGCCTTTCTTAATGCTACGCCGGGGATACGCATCAAGCTCTCTTACCAGCTCCAAGAATCTTTGATACATGCTGCCACTGCTGTCAGTGTTACTGCTGCTGCCAGTGTTACTGCTGCTACTGCTGTAGCCACTACTGTTAGTGTCACTGCTGTTGCCACTGCTGCCAAAAGCGTTACTGCTGCTGCTGGCGTGTCTACTACTACTGCTGCTGCTGGTGCGGCTACTACTGATGCTTGCGGGAGACAACGTATATACCTGCTTCATGTGTTCGTACAGCGACGGCTGCGAGTAGTTAGCAGGCGGCACCGTACTCGATATGCTGCTTATTGTCGACTGCTTGCCGTTATCTGCAACACAAAAACACCGCGTGTCGGTGGATCGTCGTAGCGTGGTACCAGGAGTAGATAATAGGGATAATAGGTTCCCTATTATCTACTCCTGGTGGTACGGAGCGATGATCCCGCTATATAACACACGCCCAGTCAACAACACACCCAGAGGGAGTGAGGGAGTGGGTGGGGAGGGGAGTTATCCCGGATACTCCAATCGTGTGAGGAGAAGAGGGTGGGGAGAGGAGATATTCTTCCTGATACACCAACTACATTGGGAGAGGCGCAAGGCAACGAATTTCTTCCGGATACACCGGTCCTGCGGGAAAAAGGGATAGGGAAGGGAATTATCCCTGAATCATCAACCACGTTTGGGGGGAGGATGTGTGAGAGATGAAATTTCTTCCGGGTACACCAGCCATGTGAGAAGGGGTGGGGGAGCGAATTATCCCAGATACAATAACCATTAGATACAATAATGTAACCACACACAAGAGTTGGGGCACCTTTTCCTGCCCATTACTCGTGTGTTGGGTGACATTATTGTATCTACACCAATCACATGCGGACAGGTGCTATAGCATGTATTCTCCCTGACGCACCAAGTATGTGAAGATAAGTGTGAGCGAGGGAATGCTCCATGATACGCCAACCGTGCGAGGACAGGTGTAAGTAATGAAATTCCATCTGATACAAGAACGCGCCAATATGAGTAGAGGGACGGGAGATGAAATTCATACGTAATCACCCACCAGCAACGCGATGAGTGGGGTGCGTGAGCGTATTCACACTTAGTCACCCGCCATCAGGACGGACAGAAAAGCGGGGGGAGGGAATTCAAACACTGCTGAACCAGCGGGGGCAGGCAGCGCGACATTTGCACTATCTAATCACAGCTGATGTGCACAGCTCTGTACGCGTTGCATTCCGGCGCCTAGCTCTAGTACTGTAACATGTGGCCTGCGGCAACAGTACGCGGGCTATAGTAGTAGAGCTATCTGGCGCCTTGGTCGTTGTTTTGCTAATCCAGCGCTGTGGTTTCTGTGCCGAGCATTCAGCCCGTGTACCTGCCTGCACCAGGCACATCACACAGCCAAGTGTCTCTGCCACCTTATCTGCGTGAGAGAGACGCAAGAAGGGGACTGCCACGATGATATATGATCAATGATATTACGCAGATCTTATCTGATTGAGTCTAGGACTAGCGACAGGTGTGTGGTACAGCGTCTGGTCTGGTCGCGGTGGTGGTCCCCTTGCACGCGAGGTTGGAACAGTGTTATACAGTGTTATACTGTGTTATACTGTGTTATACGGTGTTATACGGTGTTATACGGTGTTATACGGTGTTATACAGTGTTATACGGTGTTATACTGTGTTATACGGTGTTATACTGTGTTATACAGTGTTATACAGTGTTATACTGTGTTATACTGTGTTATACTGTGTTATACAGTGTTATACTGTGGTATACGGTGTCATACGGTGTTATACAGTGTTATACAGTGTTATACAGTGTTATACAGTGTTATACTGTGTTATGCTGTGTTATACTGTGTTGTACTGTGTTATACGGTGTTATACTGTGTTATACAGTGTTATACTGTGTTATACTGTGTTATACTGTGTTATACGGTGTTATACAGTGTTATACTGTGTTATGCGGTGTTGTACTGTGTTATACGGTGTTGTACTGTGTTATACAGTGTTATACTGTGTTATACAGTGTTATACAGTGTTATACGGTGTTATACAGTGTTATACTGTGTTATGCGGTGTTGTACTGTGTTATACGGTGTTGTACTGTGTTGTACTGTGTTATACGGTGTTGCACTGTGTTGTACTGTGTTATACGGTGTTGCACTGTGTTGTACTGTGTTATACGGTGTTGTACTGTGTTGTACTATGTTATACAGTGTTGACTGTGTTATACGGTGTTGTACTGTGTTGTACTATGTTATACAGTGTTGTACTGTGTTATACGGTGTTGTACTGTGTTATACAGTGTTATACTGTGTTATACGGTGTTATACTGTGTTATGCGGTGTTGTACTGTGTTATACGGTGTTGTACTGTGTTATACAGTGTTATACTGTGTTATACAGTGTTATACAGTGTTATACAGTGTTATACAGTGTTATACAGTGTTATACGGTGTTATACAGTGTTATACAGTGTTATACTGTGTTATACTGTGTTATACGGTGTTATACTGTGTTATACTGTGTTATACTGTGTTATACGGTGTTGTACTGTGTTATACGGTGTTGTACTGTGTTATACGGTGTTGCACTGTGTTGTACTGTGTTATACGGTGTTGCACTGTGTTGTACTATGTTATACAGTGTTGACTGTGTTATACTGTGTTGTACTGTGTAACAGTGTTGGACTGTGTTATGCGGTGTTATACTGTGTTATACGGTGTTATACAGTGTTATACAGTGTTATACGGTGTTGTACTGTGTTATACGGTGTTGTACTGTGTTGTACTGTGTTATACGGTGTTGCACTGTGTTGTACTGTGTTATACTGTGTTATACGGTGTTGTACTGTGTTGTACTGTGTTGTACTATGTTATACAGTGTTGACTGTGTTATACTGTGTTGTACTGTGTTGACTGTGTTGTACTGTGTAACAGTGTTGGACTGTGTTATACTGTGTTGTACTGTGTTGTACTATGTTATACAGTGTTGACTGTGTTGTACTATGTTATACAGTGCTGACTGTGTTGTACTATGTTATACAGTGTTGTACTGTGTTGACTGTGTTATACAGTGTTGTACTGTGTTGACTGTGTTATAATGTGTAACAGCGTTGTTCTGTGTTATAATGTGTTGTACAGTGTTGACTGTGTTACACTGTGTTTTACTGTGTTAACTGGCAGCACGTAAACACGTTTGGGAAAGATACAATCCGGTTGATTTCATTAAGATCAGAGTAAGACCAACCACAATCGTTTGAGATACCTACTCTTACGTCCTTCTGCAGGCGTGAAAGTAAAATCAAAGGAATAGATTACACTCAGTGATTAGGATGCATGTCCACACCTACAATCAACAGTAATACAACCTGCTTCCCCACAGGAGCCAACTCCCACCCTTATTTAATAACCTTGATTCTGCCCCTATACTCCCTTTCCCAGCTTTCTACACACAAACCCTCTTCTACCAGCCTAATCTCTCTAACTTCATACCACCCGTCACGTTGGTACCTCCCACAGTCCTCCATCTACGCCCCCTCCCTCCCATCCATCTACTCCCACCCACAGCCTCCCTCCCATCCTACTCCTATCCTTCTCTGCCCTCTCATCCTTCTCCTCCCATCCACAACCTCCCTCCCATCCTCCACCTTGCTCCCACTGCCTCCCTCTCATCATCATCATCCCATCCTTCACCTTGCCCTAAGAACCTCCCTCCAACCGCCCTCCCTTCCACTCATGGTCACTGATCATGTGGCATCGTACTTACTTTCAGGAGGTGAGTATGGTTCTGATTCCGGCGGACTTTCCGGCAGTGACCTGTTAGAAAGAATAAACACGATCACTCGCACCATTGCCGGGGCAACAGCTTCCGAGGCCTAGCTTGCTAACATGAAGCCCTTAAGTTTATGCAGAAGTTACACTCTGATAATTACATGTATTGCTAGATAATATTACTTGTTTCAATCCCACGACCTTGTTTAAATCTCAGGACAATATCATGATCAACCGAGACCGAGCTTGCTACTAGCTGGCAGTAGGAAACAGATCTCTGTGTTCCCGTGCCCAGATACACACGAACAGTGCATCAAGCACGTGTGATTCCAGCCCTTCATTCTTCTCGCATACGCTGTCTTCCCGCATTTTATCTACAGTCAGGATTCCTTGTGGTTTACTAACCCTTTCGCATAATGGACAGAGTTTTTGAAAGACATCGCGTCACTGTAGTCAGAGAGTCGGTCGGGCGTGTGCTGCTGCGTGTGCACTAGGTGGCGCTCCTCTGCGTGCTCCGTGTGTGGTAGGTGGCGCTCCTCTCCGTGTTGCGAGTGTGGTAGGTGGCGCTCCTCTGAGTGCTGTGAGTGTGGTAGGTGGCGCTCCTCTCCGTGTTGCGACTGCGGTAGGTGGCGCTCCTCTCCGTGCTGGTTCTGCTGCAGGTGGCGCTGCTCTCCGTGGTGGCTGTTCGCTAGGTGGCGCTCCTCTCCGTGCTGCCGTGCCTTGTTGCAGTGGTTACTCTGCGGCAGGGTAGAGTTCGGTATCTTGCCATGGCTTTGGTTCTGGTTTTGGTTGTGGCAGTGACCGTGGCTGTGATGTTGATGATGTTGGTGATGATCATGGTCCTCGCCACTACCATTCGCGAACGTCTCGAAATTACTGCAACAAATTAATGAGTCAATTATAGAAACCATTTCAGATTAATTAAAGCTACACAACCGATGAATGATGAATCCCAGCGATATTAACGTAAAACTATTATAAATAAATGACATGAACAGATGTAATAAATTAATGCCCATAGATTTATAGCTGTTTATCGTAAGACTGATTTGGCCATGGAAAAGACAACTGAGATTACAAGGTCAGGATGATTATGCATAACATATAGATATTTCATGGATTATTTTCCACCCTTGACATTTATGATACCAGCAATATTTTTTAAATTGTCTGCATCAATATTCTGTAATTCGCCTACATTGCAAGCAGCGAATCACGGTATACACATTTGCTAACGGTTGTATGACAACAATAATTGTTTTGATAACGATCTAATAGCCTATAGGAAACTTTTTGCTAGTTTTCCGAGCTCTAACGTATGAACAGTAGAGAATGTCGTGAGATCCGGTAGTGCACGCACGCACGCACGCGCACGCACGCACTAAGTAGTACGCACGAATTAAAAGGCCACTGTCCCAGTCCGCTCCGGCACCACTTGCGATGGCTCTACCCACGCACGCGTACCCTACCCTGCGCCGCTCTATGCGCCTCACGTTCTGCTAGGCTCGCCGGCGGCCGTGAGCAGGGTAGAGCCATGGCCCGCGGCCGCAATGTGCGGGTTTACGTAGGTCATCTGAAGTGGGTGTCACTTTCCCACGGGGGTTTGTCTATATTCAGGCCGGTACAGGAGATAATTTGCATATTTTATCACGTGGTTTGTGTTATAACCAATCAGTTGTAATCGCGTGTTCGTGACGTCACTTCCAGCTGTGAAGAAGATGGTGAAGGAGGAGGAAGGGGAGAAGGGAGAAGGTGGTGGAGAAGGAGGAGGGGAGAAGTCTGGCCACTGTATACATCCCGCCACCGCAGCAACGCTTTGTTTACTTTTGTTTTATGACGAGCAATAAAACTTCCTCATGAGCTCGTTGTTTAAACACGCCCACAAGATGGGACATGTAAACAACTGTACGTATAAGTGGGTTAAAAAGTGAAGGTACCATAGCGTGCCAAGTGATAACGTTGCAGCACGCAAGAACGGCCCGCGCATGCGTCATGCGGGCATCCATCATGGCGTCGTGTCCTACATGCATCCTGCTACTGCGCACGTCATCGCAAGGGATGACGTAATACCACCGCGCACCTCGCCTGCCGCGACGTTTTACAGTCAAACGTAGAATGTCATGCGTGTGACTGTCCCTCTCTCTCTCGCTCTCTCTCTCTCGCGCGCTCTCTCTCTCTCTCTCTCTCTCCTAAAAATAACCTCTATTTTAAACTCACTGTAAATGGAAGCTCTTTTGCGCCGTTCTCTATCTTCGTTATACATTCCTCAAGAGGGGAAGAAAATGTGATTGTTTTCGCTCACTGACCCGCAAAGATCGCCTGACAGATAAATCCACCTATCCTATCCCACAAAGAATGCTTCAACTGCTCCCATCAGAATTGCAGAGTCATGAAGTCGAATGGACACCGCTATTTATATCATACATATTAACAAGAGTGGATAATAGAGATCTCTATTATGCACTCTTGATATTAATAGACAATGCGGTTGGAGGCAGTGCGCGTGGCTCATAGGGTCTATGCCCCCCAGGGTACTGCCGGAACGTACCCTGGGTACGGTGACGGGTCCGGTATATCGGAACGTACCCTGGTCACTATTTGATATGGTTAGGGTTAGGATTAAGATTAGGGTTAGGGTTAGGATTAGGGTTAGGGTTAGGGTTAGGGTTAGTGAGTATGCGTAGGCGACTCCCTAGACTCGTTAGTGGAGTAGGCGAGGTACGGTCCGGCATATTAGATAGTACCAGGGTACGTTCCGGCAGTACCCCGGAGGACATAGAGTCATAGACCCTCTCAGCGTTTAGCGTGTGTCTCTTGAGCCGGCCACTTTTGCGGAGAATTCTTATGTTCGCGGTGGTGTGGCAACGCGAGAGAAAAAATATAAAAAAGGAACTTTATGTTTTAGTGTTTTTAAACTTTATAGCCGGAATCGACAGAGGGTGACGTTTGTTTATTTGCGTTAGAAACACAACGGAAAAGTGGTTCGGTGACTTCGGGTTCATGTTTTTTAATACCTCATATAATAAACTATTTGAGGGTAACTAACTACTACTACCAGGGCATTGCTCCAAAAGGTAAACACCACGAGTGACCGTTATAGACAAATGACCGTTCCATAGAGGCGGTTAACTGCATATTTTCCACTTCAGGGAAGCGCAGTGTCCTTTATAGACAGGTTTGGCTGTACTTCATCATTCAAGTAACGGACTTCATCGCACCCGTGGGTGTGACCCTTCAACAGACTCCGCCATCGTTGCCCGCAGCACAGCAAAGCTCATTTGCCAACATCCGATTTGATCTAAACCTTTGCCGATAAAATCAGAGACATCCAATATATCACCAGCTTCTCCCCCTCCTCCACCACCTTCTCCCTTCTCCCCCTCCTCCTTCTCCACCAGCTTCTCCCCTCCTTCTCCACCGCGATTACATCTGATTGGTTATAACACAAACCACGTGACAAAATATGCAAATTATATGTCCTGTACCGGCCTGAATATAGACAAACCCTTCCCACGGGCGTAGATTGAAGGCACGTGATCACGTCTTATGACGTCACTGCAATCATTTCCCTATATTATTATATTATTATACTCTTATTTCCCTAACCCTAACCTTAACCCTAATCCTAACCCTAACCCTAATGCTAAAATATTACAAATTTACAAAAAAAAACAAATTTTAAATTTTAAAATAAACAAAATTAGCCAAAAATAATAAATTAGCCAATCAGAGCCGAGCACCCTCAATCTACGCCCGTGGGAAAGTTATTCCCATCTGAAGTTCTATCACAGCAAAACCGAGCAAACGACGGTCGCGCTACATCCTGAGCGCTGCTCAACCAGGCGCGCTAACCGATACGCGGCACCGCTAGGCGTTCAAACCGATAGACGGTTCCGTGTGCTGACACTTTCCCGGCTCTCCGGCGAACGGGAAGCGAACACAGAACCCCGTTGTTATCGCGGAACAACAGGATGCAACCAGCACTCACTCACTCCCCCATTCACCGGGATCGAGCGTTCTCCATTCGTTCACAAAACCTCCCGGTTTCGCAACATTCGCACCGCCATTCTCCCAATCACATCCGCACGATCCGTAACCACGGCGACAGTAAATGCACTCGATATATCCTGTCGGCTTGTAGTCTTGTCCCTGTGTTAACTCGATCCCGCTGAGGGGCGGACCGGGGAAGGCACAGCCCTCACACACGACACCGGTGACGGCACCACGTCAGCACGAAACAACACACTCCAAAATGGTCACCATTCATGTAGCTCCAGGTTGATGCTAATAGTAATACCAATGCTAATACACACCGGTGCGGTTAGGGGTAGGTTACCAAAGTTGAGGTTATCATACTGCTGATTACAAATGAAACATGTATATTCCAGCTGTCGCGCATATTGTCCTACAACGGCACATCTTTGTTGTTTCACTTTATCTGCACTAGGTAAATACCGCTTATTTTTCAATCAAATCCACCGATATCAGATCACCTCCTTCGTTATTCCACGCCCACGAGATTACCTGTGAAACTCTTCAATCCGTAAAAGTAGTTGATCTGCTATTCCTAGCATCATGCTTGCCTGTAGTTATAGTGCTACTGCTAGCCACGCGAGTGTGTGAATGCTCCTGCGTGCGAGCGCATGGGTTTGCGTGTGTGTGAGTGTGTGTGTGTGTGTGTGTGTTACACGCACAATACCGGTATTCTACTGGGCCCGAGTGGGGACAGTCTAGATTTACTCCCGCGTTAAGGAAATGACACGTATGGGGCTTGCGCCCATCGCCCCAGGGTATACAATGGCGGATGTTACCTACTGACGCACGCACGCGCGCACGTGCACGCGCGAGCAGACTATAGCGAGAGCTAACGAGTAGCCCCAAGCTCTCTCTCTCTCTCTCTCTCTCTCTCTCTCTCTCTCTCTCTCTCACTCTTTGGCTTGGCTACTCGGGTTACATTTATCAACTTGTCGCCACGAACCCCGCGGGCGCGACGCTACGGCAGGGAACGCCTTCCGAAATATTGCCGGAACATAGTGCGTGTATACATTTGTTTAGAAAACATCGCGCTGTAGCCGTGGAGAGTTTAGCTTGTTAATGACGTTAGACTGACCCATCAAACAGTCGTCACGCTTGCTCTGCCGCAGAGCGGCGCCACCGACGATTGGACCATGCAAACACGCCATCGGCTGGAAAAGTTCAAGGACCAATCACGATAGACATTTTAACTCCGGCTGATGACGTTTCTGCTATGCAAGCAGGGTGTCTGGTGGCGCCCTCTTGTTATTCTAAATTGCTCGTTTACGTGCAAAAGGTTGAAAGCTTGTTTCGTCGCTCAATGACGTCACAGTGTGGACTGTACAATTTTTTATAGGGTTAGGGTTATGGTAATAGGGTTAGGGTTAGGGTCACAATGCACCTTAAAACAGGAGTTTGAGTCCGTACGGACGTGACGACACTGTGACGTCATTGAGCGACGAAACAAGCTTTCAACCTCTTGCCGTTTACGTGGCAACCACAAAACATACCTTGACCGATTAAGAACACGACGCGGAGCCACAGGCACTTGGAACGTCTCAATAAAAAAAAGGTAAATAAACACGAGGGGTAACCTCTGTTATTCATGTTGTTTGTGCACAGGGCGTGCGTGCGGTGTACTTGTGTGTTGCAGATGAGCATTTGGCCGGCATTTACGGGTAATTATCGGCAATAATAGGCGAAATAGAGTAGAGAAACATTAAGACTTTAGTAATAAATACATTTCATGTTTATTTACCATTATTTTTTTTATTGAGACGTTCCAAGTGCCTATGGGCAGAGACATCCGAACTTTGCTAAATGGTTTGGCGACATCACATGTCAATGCTGATGATGTGGCC